CCATGGTAACTGCTAAGAAAGCAGTTGAAGATACACACAAAAGGAAATGAGAAAGATTTTAAACAGTTCACTATATAAATCAACTAAACACCAAAGGAGATAGTAATGTATAAATAAGGGATTAAAAGCCATGGCTTTGAAAGACAGAAAACACATAGCAAAAGTGACAGAAGTAAGCCTTTCCTTATCAGTAATTACTTTAAATGCAAATGGATTAAAGTGGTCAATCAAAAGACAGATTAACAGACTAGTTTTAAAAAATAATCCAACTATATGCCATCTACAAGAGACTCATTTTAGACTCAAAGAAACAAACCGGTTGAAAGTAAAAAGATAGAGAACTGTTTCCTATAAATAGCAGCCTAAAGAAAGCAAGGCTAAAGAAAGGAATGTCAGCCAAAATCAACTTTAAAACTGTTTACAAGAGACAAAGGACATTTTACATTAATCAAAAAATATAGCAATTATAACTACTTATAAACATAATTGTCTCTTTAATCATCTACAAACCATCAGAATACATGAAATCAAAGCTGTAAGCATTGAAAAAAGAAATAGGAAGTTGCATATTTTAGTTGGAGACTTCAAAATCCCACCCTTAGGAGCAGATAGACTAACCAAGTAGAGTACAAGTAAAGGATTTATCATAATGGGGCCAACTTGATTCAGCAGACAGAGATAATATTTCCTCTGGTCACAATGGGATAGTTAACAGTCATTAACAGAATAAAACTGGAAAATTTACAAATTATAAAAAAAATTCGAATACTCTTAGCAAACCAATGAAAGAGAATCACAAGGAAAATGGGAAACTATTTCAAGGCAAATGAAAGTGGAAAAAAATATATCAAATTTATGGGGAAACAGTGGGAACCATGCTAAGAGAGAAAATTATAGTTATAAATGCTTTCATTAGAAAATTAGAAAGGTTCCAAATCAATAAGCTAACTTTACAACATAAAGAAGTTTTAAAATTGCATTTATTTTGCTTTATGTGTATGAATGTTTGGCCTACAGGTGTATGTGCACCGAATTTGTGTACAGTACCCTCTGAGGCCAGTAGGGGGTGCTAGATCCCCTGGAATAGGAGCTATAGATGCATGTGAGCCACAAAGGGTGCTGGGACTTGAACCCAGGTCCTCTCCAAGAACAAGAAATGCCCTTAACCACTGAGGTATTTCATAGCCCAACATAAGAAATTTTAAAAGAACAAACAAAACCAAGCCAGCAGTAGAATAAAATGATGAACATCAAATCATATAAAGACTTGTTTCAAAACTGAGAAAAAATTGTATTCTATGGAAAGGATTAACCCTGGAAATGGGTAATTTTTAATTAATGCATATAGCTTCAGTTTTAAAGCTTGAGAAGAGATAGAGCAGTGATATGTGTACATTATAAGTTCATTTAATACTACTAAGCTATACATTTAAAATGATTAAGATGATGGATTTTATGTTATGTGCATTGTAGCACAATACAAATATTTCAAGTAAGAGAAAATTATTGTCCAATCCTACAGATGGATCTATTTTACAGATCTATTTATTTTTCATATGGTAGCTTCACTACATATAATGAATAGAAAGTTATTTTGTTAGAATGCAAATCCTGGTGACCCTGCCCGAGTTGCAGCTGCCAGCAATATGTTCAAGGTAATTCAGAGATCAGTGGGGCCAGCCAGCCTGAGCCTGCTCACCTGCAGAGTCTATATAGCACTCAAAGAGGACTCGCCTAACAGCAGTTCCACGAGGATCGATGAGCTTCCACGCTACTCAGTTCCTGGGGGTCAGTCTAAGTATGTGGGGGAGCTAAGGACTCAGCTTGAAGAAAACATCTCACAACTCCGACATCACTGTGAGTGTATACAAGTTTGTGTCAGGAGATATACTCCCATACTAAACCCAAGGGGGAACACTTTGTGCAGTGGGGAGTTGACAACTGTAACTATCTTCAAAATAAGCCTCCTGGATTTTTCCCAAGACTCGGTGTGACTGGTTTTACTGATTTTGTTGGACTCCTCCTTGCTAGAGGTTCAAAAATAAAGAAGCTGGTGTATCCTCCTCTTTTCATGGGATTAGGTGCCTCTGTCTATTACCCACAAGTCATCACCATTCCCCAGGTCACTGGGGAGAAGGTATACGACTGGGGATTGCGAGAGTACATAGTCATAGAAGATGTGTGGAAGCTAAATTTTCGGAAGCCAGGAAATTTGAAGAAGTCACCTGGAAATAAATAGAAAACTCCATGCTCTGCCCATTTTAATCAGTTGTAGGTAAACATTGGAAACTCCAGACGGTAAATCAGTATTTCTACAGACAAGTGGCAGAATCAGTATTGGATATAGTAAACTGGCTTTCTTCAGGCAAAACAACACTAAGTCCTTTTGCTGTTTTGGGTGATGCCATATTACAGGCCAACTAATCTGCAGTCTTTCACATGGAAATAACGTACAAGCCTTGGAACTCCTCATTCTTATATCACTATGTACATAATTAAAGTTCAGATTCAAAAAAAATGCAAATCCTGCGTTCAGTAAGTTTGCAGGAGAGATCAATAATCTCTGCTTCTAACAACTTCCAAGGTGAAGTTGGTCTTGTTGATCCTGGCTCATGGCCCGCATCTTGAACAACAAGGTCTTATAAAATTTATGAAGCTAAAGCAGATGGCATCTGAGATTCAAGTCAAACACACCAAGTAAGTAGCCGGCAGTTGCCTCAAAATCAGATGGGCTGCAGCAAAACTTGAAATGTGTTCTTTCTGAATGCAGAGTGTGACAAGTTCTGTAATCCATGGGCCTCAAGTTACCTGCTATCTATGCCTACATTACAGAATTATTTGCTTAAAACAATATCATGTATTTATTTTGCTCATGAACCTGAAATTTGGGTAAAACTTTACAGGGGTACTATGTCTCTCTTCCACATGGCACTAGTTGGGTAAAGTTCAACTGAGAGCCAGAATAGCTGCTTTAAAAATGCCTTGTTTTTGTTTCTGACTCTTAGCTATGCGATCAGCCAGGGCTATGGGATAACAACCTTAGGTCATCTCCACATGGCCTTCCAAAGTAGCTTAAGCTTTCTTATGTCGTAGTGGCTGAGTTCCAAAAGCATGCATCTCCAGAAAACAAATTAGAAACACGCGATGTTTTTATGACTTGGCCTTGGGCATCATATAACATCACTCTTGCTGTGCACTGGAACTTGATAAGATTATAAAGGACTGCCCCTTTAAGAAGAGAAGATTGGCTTTTCCAGTTAATGGCAGGGTGGTAAAAGTCTGGAAGAACATGATAAATGATATCATCTTTGGAAAATATAGTTTGTCATACCTGTCAACCACAAATCGATTCAAATTAAAAAAAAAACACAAAAAAACTTGGGGGCTGGAGAGATGGCTCAGTAGTTAAAAGCATAAATTTCTCTGGCAAAGATCCCTAGTTCAGTTCTCAGCATTTATACTGGGAAATTCTCAGCTACCTGTAACTCTAGCTCCAAGGAAATCTGGTGCCTCTGGCCTCTAGGGACACCTGTATTCATCTGCACTTGAAAAAAAAATATTGTTAAAACATATGAAATTTTGGATTATGGAGATCTTTCAGTGGGTGGTGTACTTAACAAGAATGACAACCTGAGTTCTATCCCTGGAACCTATATAAAGGTGGGAGGAGATGGGGACCACACGGTGTAGTCCTCTCATCTCCACACATGCCCCATGGCACCTGTACACACTTACACATCACATACATACTCTCTTTCCTAGCCTTGCAACACACACACACACACACACACACACACACACACACACACACACACAGTAGGGAAAAGATACAAATTTCTCTAATTCTGGCTTATTTCCGGCTTATTTTCATTCCCATTTCTGTGTGTTTGAGAAAGAAGAAACCCTCAGGGTAGAAAGCAAGAGAATACTAGAAGGATCATAGATTATCTCATGGAAATTAGCTGAAACCGGCTGACAATGATGGCAGAGGCATCAGACAGAGGTGAGATTGAAGTGCATAGGAAGTTAGGCATTACTTTAAGGACAAATGCCATCTATTCATTTGCTACTATGCCCACTCTTTCCTGCTCTGTTGCAGGGTGAGGGGATATGAAACAGCTTGACCAGGAAGACTCCACGGAAAACAAGCGAGACCGACACTCACTACTGGGCAATGATAAATAAGTTGAGTGAGGTAAGCTAGTTTTCTTCCAAGAACTGGAAGTATATAACAATTACAGTAACAATGAATCCCAATGTGAGACATGGGCTTTTCTTAGTTCCTGTCTATCTCCAGGCCTCATCATAGAAGACAGGGGAGCTAAACTTGGGAGAAAGTAATCACACTGTCTACGTCACTACCAACTCTGGCCAATTTGTCTCCTTAAAACTTCTGAAGCCAGGCATGGTAGCACATGTTTGTATAGTCTCAGCATGTAAGAGGCATAGGCCAAGCACTTCCTTCTCAGACTGTGTCTCAAAAAAGCTAAGCAAACCAAATCAAACAATGCAGGGATAGGTAGGAGGTTGGGGTGATTTCATTGAAAAACAAAACAAAACAAAACAAACAAACAAAAAAACCAGACTGTCCTTCAGACCATGTCTTTGATTTTCCACTTAAAGTCACGGTGAGGATCAAATCAAATTCACACTGAGACACATCCCTCACAATGAACTATGATGCTCTGTGTTCATGTAGGACCCTCACACTGTCTCCCGACCCTGCTTCAATTGGGCTCTATACTGTCCTGGTGAGTGTACGTTTTGTGGAGGTTTAAAAACCATGAGAAGTCATGCTGGACTCAATGGTTGGTGCTCAGGGCAGTTCTTGCTGAATTGGGAGCCTGAAGCAGTGTTTCAAAGACCAAAGAGTATTTCATCCTAAGACTTGCCTTATTTCCTTCCAAACAGCACCACTGGACGTATCCATTTATCAGAAGCACCCTATACCCTTACTCTGCTTTTGAACTCTCCTCTTCCAAAGTTAAAGATATCGCACCCATTGGCTGCTTTGTGAGAACGTTGCAGTCACGTTACCTTGAAGGTTTCCTGGAAGAAGGACGAGAGAAATGAGCTTAGCTTTCCCTGATTTTTTGCCTAGATGTGTCTGTTCTGTGGGTGTTCTGGAGTTCTTCCCAGGAAGCAGACCTCAAAATCTCTAATGCCAATCATGAATAAGAGTTTTATTTATTGAAAAAAAAACTACTCAATGCAGTGATATGAATGAGAAGTACCAGGTTGGTTAAGGCACGCAATTGCTTGTCATTACCTCCACTGATGATCTGAAAGAAAGAGCCCCCATATTTGCTTCTTTCCATTTGCAAGTCCCACACCAAGCCCTCTTATTCTCCAAACACTCAGTATAGCTATTGAGAGACAGCTGACTTGAGGCTGAGCTGCCTGCCTAGAAGCACAACTTTGGGTACATCCAGTAATTCCCCCTCCTGGTGCATCTATATAGAAATAGAATGAGAATCTTTATCCTTCTTTATCTTCCTTTCAACTTTACCAAAGAAAGTCATTATACAAATGCTAAGAAGATTCCTTCCCAGTGAGGCTATTTTGTGCTCTCAACAGGGGTCTCAAAACGAGACCTTTCCCTCCAGTCTCATACACCGTCAGGGCACCACTATCATGAGGCATGATGTGTGTGAAGGTACAGGGAACAAACAGGTGCCTTAGTGACCTTTGGGGAAGGGCAAGCATCGAGATAGGGTTTCTCTAGCCTTGACTGGCCTAGGAATCATTATGTAGCTAAAGGTGGGCCCAAACTCAAATTCCCCTACTTCAGCTTCCTAACAGATATTACATATGTGAGTCACCATATCTGACTTATTGTTCTTGCTGCTGTGATACCTGAAATAATAAGGAAGAAAAAACTCATTTGGGCTCGCAGTTCTTGGAAGATGGTTCATTCTTTTGGGAAAGTATGATGGCGGAAGTTGCCATGGGCGAGAGCAGCAGGAACCTGAATCACATGGGATATCCTGTCAGCAGTCGGGAAACATAGAGGATTCTGGGAAAAATCAGGGATAAACAATAGCACCTAACTCCTGCCCCCACTAACCTACTTCTTCAAACAAGGTCATAGATCTAAAAGCTTCATAATTTTCCAAAACAGCGCCCCCAGCTGGAACATAAGCCTATGAAGGATACTTCACATCCAAACCATAAGATACTGGAAGGCAAACCTATAATGCTAAAAATGAACAATATGACACTCTAAAGCCTTAAAATGTCCCTGCTTCATTCTTCTCACATACTATTCTGTTAAACCTTGGTTCTGCACATCAGACAAACCAAGTTTTGGCAGTACCTAGCCTCTTGGTCCCTCGAGAGAAGAGGAAACTGAAGGTCCTCCCTAAAGTTGAGAGTTGTAGTCTCAGAGCATCCTCAATCTAAACATGTTGCTTCAGTAAGATTATGAGCAACCTTGCACACAGCAGCTAGTTTTCTACGTCTCTTATTTGTTTGCTATAACCACTATCATAAAATTCCACAGACTAGACAGTTTAAACAAGACGAAATTATTTTCTTACATATTAGAGGCTTGAACTCCAAAGCAACAATCTTCTTGAGGCTCTTTTCCTTATCTTCCAGATACTCCTCATACCTGTATCTCCTAGAGCCTCTGCTCTGTACTCTCCTGCCATCTCTTCCTCTTCTCACAAGGAAGTCAGTCCTACTGGGATAGGACTTACACTGAAAACATAATCTTAAGTTAGTGAATAATTTGAAAGAAATTGTTGAAATACATCCACACCCCAAGTTTAGGACTCTCATATATGAATATAAAAGGCACGAGTGAGCTTATCATAGAATCTGTAAAAGCAAGTGTCATGTGGATTGATGCAGACAAGAACAGCACTTAGACCATGCTTCCTAAATAAGTCACCATACAAACAGCATCTTGTCAATATCATTGTATCTGTTACATTTCTGTTGCTGTGATAAAAATACCATGACCAAAAGCTACTTATAGAGGAAAGAATTTATTTGGGCTGATGGCCTCAAACACGTAAGAGTCCCTCGTAGCCGGGAGAAATAGCAGCAAGAAGCAGGCATAGCGTCAGGAAAAGGAAGCTGAGGGGTTGCATATCAGTCACAAGCAGAATGTAGATCTAGCCACCAGGCTCCTGACAGTGATTTTACAGACAGCTGTCAGCAAATAGTCTATGTGGTTGCCACTGACAGGAAGCTTTAGTTATTTCTAAGAATGCCACTGGTTACCCTTTTTGCATTAATTAGGGTTATTATTGCTGTGATGAAACATCACAGCCAAAAGCAAGTTGGGGAGGAAAGAGTTTGTTTGGCTTACACTTCTATATCGTGGTCCATCATTGAAAGAGTCAGGACAGGAACTCAAGCAGGGCAGGTTACTGGCTTGCTCCCTCTAGCTTGCTCAGCCTGACTTCTTATAGAACCTGGCACCACCAGCTCAGGTATGGTCCCTACAATGGGCCAGGCTCTCCCTTATCAATCACTAATTAATAAAATGCCCCACAGGCTTGTCTACAGTGTGAACTTATGGCCACATTTTCTTAATTAAGGTTCTCTCCTCTCAGATGACTTTAGCTTGTGTCAAGCTGACATAAAATTATCCAGCACAGCAAGTGAATTTGAAAGTGGAACAAGGCCATGAACTCTCCAAACCTGCCTCCAGTAACACAATTCCTCCATCAAAGTCATACCTGCTAAGCAACCCCCAAACAGTACCACCTGCTGGGGCCCACGTGTTCAAACGCCCCAGTCTATGGGGGTACGTTTCTCTTCCAAATCACCACAGTCACTATTATGGCCATTATAACTACTATTTTTCTGACATATGGTCACTCACCTCAGAAAACTAAATTTTCCACCTGCAGAAAAATTATACCCATAGTAGTTAAGAGAATTAAGATGTCTAAATCCTGGCTCTATTTGCTAGCTTCCTAAATTGTGTTAATTTTTGTGTGACTTGATTTGCCAGTCCCGAATAAAGGAAGGAAAAAAATAACATCTACTGTGTAAGGTTGCTGAAAGGATTAAAGAAGCAGTGAAATAAAATGACCAGCCAATAGTACATACTCAATAAACATGGCCACTGCCATTAATAGTGTTTAGATTTGCAGCGGCTCCATCCCTCTCCGCCAGTAGAGGTCTCCACCATATCCAATGGGGACTCTGCGTGATGATGGTAGGCACTCATCCGTGGCAGAGAAACTAATGAACAATCACAGCCCCGTCTGCAGGTAGAAGACCTCGGAAACAAGAGAATAGGAACTATGTAGACTTCCATGGCAAAGAGTTACTCAAACAGGTGCACATGAGTAAAGATCGCACAAGGCCAATGCCCACTGGCACTAACCTTAGTTGTATCTTAATTAGCTTATTAAGCTAGAGTTTAAAAATTAATGGTAAGAAACTAGAAAAAAAAAAACACATATGTCGTGGACAAGCAGAAAGGACGAATTGACAAGTGTTTGTAAACTTTTGTGGAAACAAGAAACCCTGCTAAGTAAACATTTAATATTGCTCGTAATATTAGCTGGCTTCTTCTTCATCGTGAGCTATATTCATGTTTCTATTGCGGTATATTCTCTTATAAACTCCTTTTTCCCAGACAGGCACACATCTCCAAATTTAATTATTCTGTCAATTGTATTTTAAATTGTACTGATTTCCATTAACTGCTTGTGGTATCCATTTGTTGATCTGTTCCTTCTAACCGATCATCTTCCCACCCACAAAAAAAAAAAAAAGCCAGAAAGGCACTTAAACTGAAGATGGTAATAGTTATAAAAGAGAAGTCAAAACAAAAAGGTAAAGGGAATGGTAACATCGGGCTTAAAAGAGGCACTGAGTGAAAAATACACACATACTAAAAAGTATAGTACCAAAGCAGATAGTGCCTCGGAGGGAAGGGAAGAGAGAGCCAGGGAGAAATCCAGCTTGTGCCTCTTCCATCTCTCTCAGCACCAAGGACAGAGAGCCTCTGAGCGGCTAACCCAAACAACATTCAGTTGGGTCCCTCCCAATCCTCTAGGGAACACCGGTGCCTTGGGAAAGCAGCTATGAAACCATGCAGTGAGGTCTGATAGGAAAGCTGACAGACTTAGTTCACATGTAATTTCCACCTCGGAGGCAAAAACCAGGTGATTTCTTTCCTGTATGGAAATGATTCCATAGTTTCTGTGTCCTGGGAAAGGCAAAGTTTGCTTTGCTTCGGTGTGTCTGCTGTCAGTAAATGGCTTCAGGAACTGAGGCGCTAAACACCACAGTCTCCAGGCACCAGAAGAAATTTTCAGGGTAAGTGGATTTTTCTTTTCATTTCTAATTTAGTGGAAGATTATTTGATTAGCTTGGAATTCTGTAGTTCTCTAAGAATATGCATTAAACCTCTGAGCTACTCTAGGTTTAAAACATGAAACCCCGAGGAAACTGTGTTCATTAAGTGGTTGGACCTGCTCTCTTTTTAATCCCCCTCTCCCAAATTTGTGTCATGATGGGCTCTAGAATCTATATCATGGCATACATAAAAGGCATTAAATAAAAACCTGTTTTTATTTCCTGGGAGTTGCACGGGAGTTGACTGCATTCCTCTTAAGGGTTCGACTTAGTTGTCAGAGTGTTATTTTAAACTACCCACTTCAGCACCCTGGTAATGCAGGGCCGAGGGTTTAGAGAGACACCGTTTTCAATCTGTTTAAATTCAAGCTGCTTCCAAGTCAGAATTCAATTATCCCAACAGAGATATATGTAGTGCCTGAGAGGACGGTTGTGTATGTTTTTTCCAATGATGGCATATGATTTTGAAGGCGTTGTTGTTTAACTGTAGAACTTCCATTACTTACTGTGGCTTATCGAGTCAGCAGAGTCCTTGTAATTAGGCACTTGTGCCGCTGAATGCATCTGGTTTAGTCTAATACCATCTCAATGCATGAAAAAAAAATGTAGGAATAGCAAAGTGGAACCCAGATTCTAAATGCGTTCTGCATGCCTGTTTGCACCTCACAGGTAGAGCCCTTTGCTTACTGGTAACAAGGTCAGTAAACTTTGTCCTTGGCTGAGGATGAAAGGCAGCCATTTGACCTGGCCTTGGGAACTTGTAGAGCCAGAGGGGAGACAATGTGAGATTCTTATTCAAATACTTGTTTACTTAGAGTTGAATGTTTTCAAGGATCTGCGTGGATACTCATGAACAAGGGGGTCGAGCAAAGAAAATTGTAATAACATCCAAACAGAAGGCTTCTTCTAATGGCTTCTTCTAAATGTCAAATATCAAATATCCATACAGTATTAAATTTAATGTCTAATACATTGAAGTTTGCCATCAATAAATATTCACTTACTGATTACTTGGTCTACTGTAATTTCCCCACTTTTAGCTCTTGTTAGAATGAGAGAATGTTTTGTTTTTGAAGATTGTCAAGGAAAGGAAAGCATGCTTTATTGGTCAGGTTCAATGAGGGAAAAAAACTATATTATGTTAGCTTCTGGATCTCAGTAACCACTCATGGCTTTTCCTCTGTATATGTACCAACATATACATATGCAAATACATTCAAATCTATAAATATGCAATATACTTCAATGTACTTGTGAATCTTTATTATGAAATGAATTAGAGAGCAATTTACAAGAATAAAGTACCATAGAAATGCTAAAGACTACCTCTAATAATAATGACAATATAACTCCCACAGGCTCTGTGCACAGTGCACACCTGCATTGACTTTTAAAAGCTGGGTAAAGAGAACAAGCTACTTTGAACATGCAAGATCTTCACATTATTCTCCACTCAGGCTTGTCTGCTTTATCTCCATAGTGAAGGACTTCAGAACAGGGGCTCTGGATTCAGGTCTCTGGTTGAATCAACTCCACCACTTACTGGCTTATGGTCTCAGAAATCAATCTCTCTGTAACCCCTTCCCTTCATCTGCTAGAACAACAACGAGAATAGCACTTACTTTACTCTTCATGTTGTCAATATGATAAAGCTTATAAATGTTAGCTGTTAGAATTATTGATTTTATAAGGGAATTGGGAAGTCTGAGTTGAAGCAAAGGCCAGAAAAACTCCAGACACATGTTTGTTAGTGAAAGTTTATGATGTCAGGACCTGGGGTGTGAAGGAAGATAAGTCATGGAAGCTGCTAGTTCACTCTGGCTCGAAAGAAAGCCCATTTCAACCTAGGAATAACTCCTAGAGTCCATTTGTACCATGTAGAGAAATTAAGTGAGTGGTGACTGTTAGACTTGAGAACCCCTAATCAAAGGTTGGCACACCTCATGCACTGTGTTTGCAGGGAAAGAGATGGGAGTAAGAACTCATTCTCTCCTGGTTTGGGAGGAATGCCCATCCTCTGTGTGGGTGCTCTTATGACCTTTCCTTAGTGCATGGGCTTTGAAGGCTTTGGTTCATGGTCATCTGGCCCCACTGCAGTGGGCCTACAGTGAGAGAATCTCGTGGCAGAGAGGAAGTGATGGAGCAGGATGCTCATTTCATGAAGACCAGACAGAGGGCCACATTGTGTGAGCTTCAGAAAGTTGCTGAACCTCTCTGTCTCTGTTTTAATACTAATCTTCCCTCAGGAGATGCTGTAAACATTAACAAATGTTAAATGGGATGGATTAGTGTCTGCCTAGCACCAGAAGTAGCCCAGAAAAGTGGCTCTCTTTGGAAGGAGACTAAACACTCAAGGTGTCTTGGTTTTATAATATTTGGTGTGTGATTGGTTCCATGTCTTTAAGGAAAAGGAACAAATGGTTAAATTCTATAAATATTTTTTATTTATTTATTTTTGAGATAATATAATTACATCACTTCGCCCTTCCCTTTACTCGCTTCAAACCCTCCCACCCCTCTGTCTTGTTTCCATATTCACAGTCTCTCTTTTCATCAATCACTGTTCCATGCATATTACATGCAGATGGAGGAACGTTTCTCTATCTCTCAGCATCCCTTAGTTGCCTGTAGCCCTTAGTGTAGAACTGAGGCCTCGTGGTTTCTCCCACATTCACTTTAGCACATCTATTGCTCTTGTTCAGCCGTGTTTGTTAAGTCATGTTGGTGAGACTGTGGGTTGAGTGTGCAAGAAACTGAACATTACCACAACAGGTTATATGTCCCAGATAATGAGAGCTGTAGTCCATTCTGTCTCTATGGCTCTTAAACTAGATCATGCAGTCATCCTAAAAAGGCTAGAATACACTAAAAAGACCAGGATGAATCAATGCTTTATATGAAATTCAGTCTTCTTAAAAAAACGTAAGCGATGTTGCATGCAGTATATCTTAAGAGCTCGGGGTGAGAAGTTAATGTTCTAGCCCTTGACCACCATCCCCACCCGCCCCCATCCCCATGCCAGTGTGGTATCTGTAATATATGAGCACACATGTGTATAATATGATGCAGAAACAAGAGGAAGCTGTCATATGTCCTACTCTATCACACTCAGACTCATTCCCTTGAGTCTATCACTGAATCTAGAGCTGGACTGACAGCCACCAAACTCCTAGCATTCAGCTGTCACAGGCCCCCACAGCACTGGGATGATAGGCAATCACCCAGTCATAAACAGCAATTTTTACCTGGGTATTAGAGATTCAAACTGGGATCCTCACTGAATGTTCTTCCCCACTGAGCCAACTCCTTAGCCTCTGTTCTCCAGTTTCTCTTAACTCCCAACATTCTTTGTTGAGGTCACCAGTAAATTCCTCATCACCAAGTCCATCAGATGATTGGCAGCCATGGCGTATTTTCCTCCTCTGTCTCCTCACGCTTTCCTGTTGACAACACATTAGGTCCCATGTCACAGCAACACTTCTCTAGTAGGAGAGTCATTTTGCTCCCTCCCCCATTTGATATTAAGCATGTCCACTTTTTGGTTATTGCAACCAGTAGCTAGATCAAGGACACTGCTAAACATCAACACTGCAGAAGGCATCCTTCAAAACAAAAAAATATCAGCCCAAATTGACCACAGTGTCAAGGCTTTAAACACATAATTGCATTTGGGCTTCACAATAACCCCATAAAGTAGGCATGATTTATCCTCATTCTGCTGATGAAACAACTGGTCTCTCATTATGAATTATTCGGAGAGTGATTATTAAGTTAATGAATTCTTCAGACTCTCAGCTTCATCCTGAGACTAGTTCACTATCTCTTAGCA